TTAATATAATATATAAAATATTATTAATATTTAATAATAATATTCAATATTCTAATAGAATTAAGACAATCAAATATTTCAAATACTATTAACTCCTAATCTTAAAAAACTCATGTCTTCATCTTTAAAAAAATATGGAAGATAACATTTTTGTTCATATTTTTATAAGTAGTAGACATTCGTATTATTTGATATAAGATCATCAATTGGTTACTTATTACTTATTTTTGTTGTTCACTATTTATTAGATGAGGATTTTTGGAATATTTTATTAAGAAAAATGAATTCTAAGTTAATTTGAGACAAGATTAATGGCAATTTACTTTATATAGTATATAAATAACATAATTTATAATTTCTTTTCTTATTTCAATCATATAATTGTATAAAAATTAGTGATTTTTTCATTAAATTAGATATGAATTCTTAAAATTTCTGAAAAATCAAATTTGATTAGACAAAACAAAAACAACAAACTATACATAAAAATTGAGATTTTTTTCAACATCTGATTCTTTTCTAGATTTCATTTCATTTTTAACAATCAATTTGAAGTTACTATAAAAATTGATATTTTTAGAATATTATATGCTTAATATATATTTATTTAAAATATTTGCTTTTAGATTTCTTATATAATCTAAAACTAAACAATCATAAATCATTTTGATAATTATCCAAATATTCTAGAGTAATTTTTGGACAGAGTTATTATTTTTTATTCCAAAATAATTAATGACCATAACTACGTTAAAAAAAATATTCGATGAACAATAATGATAAAATTCAGATTCTGGTGGATATCAATATTAATGTAGTGAAAAAAAAAAGTTTTGGTGAACATAAAAATTATAATTGACCTATATTAAAAAACGTAAATTTTTTATCTAAAAAGAAATCGAACTGAAAGCCTTTTGAAAAGTATAAGACAACTTTTGAAAAACCTTGAATATGATCTAACACCAGTCATTAAATGTAAGTAAAAGAAATTTCTAACTTAAAAATGATTGTTGAAATTGTTCATCTTATTGAAAAAGTAATAAATAAGATTAAATCATTAAGGATATACATTTCTTAATATTGTCTAATAGATAGGATTAAATATTTATTATATATTATTGTTAAAAATATTCTGATTGCTGCATTATTATAATTAAAAAAAGATCCTAAAGTTGAATCAATGCAATATTTAATTAATGCGTACTATGGTGAAAACCAGACACTTCATAAGGGAAAGATATTTATGTGATAAATTTATTATTATTTACAAAAATATACTAATGAATCCATTATTATCAATAGATCTGGCTGAAATGAATTTTAACGACATAAAACCTCAATATCATATCAATAAATAAATAAGTTTAGAGACTTATTAAAACAATCAACAAATAGAAGATTAAATGATATTTATACTTGATATAATTCCTCGATTAAGAGGAGGAGGATGTGCAGCTACAAAAAATACTTAAGAGAAAATAACTTAATTAAATAATTAACTTCCGATTAATTTTGCTTCTAAAATCAAAGATCACACTAACATTATATCTGAAAAATCTTCAACTTTTTCTGATAAATTATATTAAGATGAAATACTTTCATCATTTTAATGGTTTTACAATCATAAAGAATATTTTTAAATACTTTGTAATGATGATTAATTAAACTCTATATTTTATCATCTAATTGAGAAATGTGCAGAAACATTATTAAAATAGTTGATAATATATATAAGACTATCAGGATTTTTGTTTTATTAATTACTTGATATATGCAATGATTTATTTAGAGTTATCTTTTCCTATTAATTAAAGAATGAAGATAGGTATATGCAAGAAAATTTAAAGCAAAGTTTGTTAGAAATGATATCAGAAATAGAATCATAAATAAGTGTAGAATCTATAAATCTATGGAAAAATGGAGTTGAATTTGAACTTTAATTAATTAAGACATGTATTGCTCATTGTAGAACTAATTCTGAGAAAGAAAAAGAATTAGTAATTGCCATTGTATGTGGAGTAGCAAGTTCGATTTCTTAGTTATCTCCAAGTCCTGAATTAATTGATGCATTGATAGAGGCAGGCAAATATTTACTATTAAATTTTTATGATAAGCAAATTTAACATCCTCTTCAAAAATATGAAATTTATTACTTTTTTGAAAATTTAAAATGGTCTATAATTAATTAATTGAAAGTAGGGTATTCTGTTTAAAAAACAATTAATACTGTATTGGATGGATTTAATTTATATATAAAGCCATCTAAAGATTGGATGATACATTTTTGTTGGGTTAAATTTATTTCTGATTTGATGTCTTATAGACCAATTATAAACAAATTCTCACTTAATCGATAATAAAATTCTAATCAATTAAATTGGAATGAGTTAATAGTATCAAATTAAATAGTATAATTGCCTTATGATAAAGCATCAGGTAAACTTCAAATTTTTGGGAAAAAAAATAACCTTAATCTGAAATAGTTTCATTAATTAATTCTATTTTAAGAGTATTTATTAGATATTTAAGAAAAATTTCAATTGTTGCCATCATATTCAATATTTTAATTTAATAACCAAAATATAGAAATGATTAGTGATTAAGATTTAAATATTAAAAAATTAATTAGTGAATCTAATTTGGAAATAGTAACAATATTAAATGATAATTTAAAAACTTAAAAAGATCAATTAATTAATTTATTTGAAACAATAATTTAATAATTTACTCCAAGTGTTTCCAAAATCTAATCAAGTTTAAACACTTAAATATCAAAAGATGATATCAAATATACAATTAAATAGATTAAACTATATAGCTAATCATTTATATATACTTTATATGAACTCAATATTATGATAAATTAAGAAAGACAAGCTATTGAAATAATTTAGAATATATTAATATAAAACAAATAATTTTTTCAAGAAAAGAGTTTAGCATATTAAATTTCAATAATATAAATCATTAAAGAATTGGAATAACAATATGAAAAGGAATACATAATTAACTTTAAAAAATTTTCATTATTTATAATCTAAATATTCCATAAATTATCAATATATTAAGATGAAGTTAATTCCCCAAATTTGATGCTTGAAACATCAAATATTAGGATTCAAGAATGTAAATTTGATTAATAATAGCTTTAAGTGGCATTAACAGATTTTATTAGTTATATTGATAAATTTATCATATAATAAAAATCTATTAAACGTAAATTTTTTAAAATATATGAATTAAAGGAACTAAATTTATTTTTATAAATGAAAACTTCATAAAAATTTTAATCCTAGATACTAATTAATATATATGATTTTAACTTTATTTAATAATTTGGAGGTGAATTTATTAATTATTATAATAATTGTTTTATTTAACAAATAGAATTTTCCTAAATTGATCTCAGGAAAAATAGAATATTATGTAAATAAATTATTATGATTTTAAAACTTTTAAAGTAGTTATTGGTTATCCAATAGAGAAAAGTTGTCTCATTGAATACTTAAAAGGAGAATGTGCAATAATAGGATCAAATCAAAGATTAACAAAATATCAAAGCTTTTTTGGAAAATATAATACATGAAAGAAGGAATATATTGTAAAAATTATATGATAAATTTGGTGGAAAAATATAAAATGATATCCATTAAGTAGACTTTTATGAAATTATAGTATCATTAGATAATGGAATTGATATAATATAAAAATAAAATTGGTCCTAAGTCCTTAAAACTAAGCATATTTTGATATTTAAGGAAATTAAAAACAAAATATAAATACTTGAATTGCTAAAAAATAATTAATAGTCATTTATTATGGAAATAATATATCTTTTTAATAAATAATTAGAAGAAGTGGGTTAAGAAGAATAATAATAATAAGAATTAATTTAGATCGAATTATTAAATATAACAAATAATAACATTCCTCAATTAAAAAAATAATAAAATATTTAAGATTGTATAACTTCTGAAAATCTTTTTACTTGGGATGAATCTATATCTTAAATTTAATAATTAATTTAGAATTTTAAAAAAATTTCATAAATTATTTAATAAAGAAATGAGAATATTGAATTAACTTAAGTTTCATTTCAAAAACAAACTTTAGAATTCATTAAAGATACTTTTAATCAAAATTATTTTGTAATATATTCTGATTTGAGGATTGAATTGATTAAATGTTTAAGTACATTAGCAGAATAAAACCAGATTGTTTTCAATTAAAATTTTTTAAGATCATTATCAGAGGATCTTTGTCTTGATTAAAAAACAACCATATAAATGATATCTGAAGGTTCCTCTTTTTTATATTAAAAAAGTAATAATGGAAATTAAGAGTTTATTATTGACAAAGCATATACTTTTATGTTGTAAAATTTAAAGATAGAAAATAATGTTTAAGGAGATGGTTTATTTGCAGAATCCTCTTACAAAGTTAGAGAAGCTACAGTATTCAATTTAATTAAAATGTAATCATTTTTGCATGAACCTATAATTTAGGAATTTTGTTAAACACTATTGAAACAGATATGGACTATTGAAAAACATTCTAGTGTAAGAAGTATTTTAAAAAATAAAGAAATGATTGAAATGTAGAAGAAATTATTTTCTAGAGATCTTGCTTCATTTTCTAATAAATTGAAGATAGAAATGTAGAATAGATTAAAAAGTATAGAATAATTAGAAACTTAAGTTTTAATTAGTGATAATTAAGTGAAAATGAAGAATCAACTTCAATAAGCTTACGAAGATTTTGAAAACTATTTAGATAATATTACAGATATGTCATAAAAGATGGATATTAGTCTTATTTTTTTAAGAGAAATTAGTAAAGATTTAAAGTCAATTAAATCTTCAATTGATTAAGTACTTTAAAGTGTTAAAGGAATAGAAGATGATGTAAGAAGATTAAGTGGTAAAAATTATATTGAACTATTATAAATTAGAAAATAAAAAATATTAAAATAAAAATAAGAAGCAGAATTAGATTAAGTTCATATTTAAATATCCACTTAAGAATATGATCCTGTAACAGGTAAGAAAAAAGAAAATATTAATGGAGTATTTACTTCATATTTATTGAAATCTAAATATAATAATTTTTAAGGTGAAATAAATGAATTTTTATGGTGTGAAAGTGAAAGTCAGAAAGATGTTTTGCTTTTAAAAGGAAAAGCAGGCTCAGGTAAAAGCAGAGCATCAAGAAATATAGAAGAATTTCTTTGGTTAAATGATACTGTTTTTCCACAATGGATTCCAATTTATGTTTCATTACCATCTTTAAAAGATCCAAAGCATAATTTATTAGAATAAGCCTTAGAATCTTAAAATTATAATTTTGATAAGATATAAATTAGAGAATTTAAAGAAGCTGTATTTAATGGAAATATGAAAATAATTTTGATCTTAGAAAGTTATGATGAAATGAAATTTGAATGCATTTAATCTAATTTATATTAAACAAATAGATTAGCATAAGATTTAAATCTTCAAATTTCAGGTTAAAATGTAAAATTAATCATAACAACTAGAGAAGAAATTCTAACATCAATTGGATATCAAACATGGTTTTATGGTAAGAGTATTGAAACTTTAAAAGAAGTTGAAATATTACCATTCACATAAGAATAAAGCTCAGAATATATTAGGTAATATTGTGAAATTAGTGTTAAAAGATCTATCAAAAAATTTTATGAATTTTTTAAATAATTAAGAGGATAAACTATATCCATCCAAGAATTCAAGTTAATATGGAATCCTTTGGAAGAATATATTAACATAATAATTAATTTGAAATAAACTTAAGATTTTTTATTCAATCCCCAAGATGTAGATAAAATTATTATTAAATTATAAGCTCTTGAATTCTTTAATCATATTAGAACAGATTAAATGATTTCATTAAAAAAAGAACTTCTTAAATTATGGGGATAATAAAAATTTATAACAGTAATTAAAAATGTGAATATAAATCATTTTATGAGTACTCCATTTATGATGGAATTGATTGTATATGTGTTACCTAAAATGTCTTTAATATTTTCAGAATCTAATTATTTAAGAGAAACATTAAAAAAATAATATTTAAAATTAAAAAGAGAAGCTTATTTATCAAATTAATTAATTAATTACTATGAGACTTAATAATAATCAATAGAAAATTAAAATGAAGCTACTGAAATCATAAGATCTTTATAAGAATAGATAGAGTCTTAAAATTTCTTAGAATAATTTTAGTCTATTGAAAATGAATTAGATAATTAAAAGTTTTTTGAAAACTTTTCTATGGATCATTCCTTAGAATATTTGGGTTCTACCAAAATAATTTCAAGATAACTGTTTAATGTAACAAAGGATGCAAATTTTATTGTTGGAGCATTTAAACTAAATTCATTTACTGCATATGACTTTTATGAAACATTTGTATCATTTTATCACATTCAACAACTTTAAAATTAAAAGGATTTAGGGAAAACATTTAATTATGAAACTACCTTAAATGATTTATAAGATTTCTCTTAATATTTAGCTCTAGATATGACTATGAATTAACTTACTTAAGTGAATTACAAATAAAGAGGAAAATTGTAGATAGCAGAAAGTTTTAAATAAGAGTAAAATGAAAATTCATGGGAAGATTTTTATTTTGATGAAAATTAATCGAATTCTGAATATTGCAATTTCTTAAGAAAATGTATTATACTAAGTTCGAAAGGAAGTATATATACTTTTAATCATAAATCAATTTAAGAGTTTTTTGTAGCTAAATATATATTAAATTTGCTTGAAGCAATGTTTAAAGTATAGAATTAGTAAATTTTATGTGAAAATTTATAAAATAGTCGATTTAGTGCTGATTTATTTAACATATCTTAAGAACATTATTAAGGTTCAATATAATTGTTAAAGCCAAAGTTAAATGTTATTTCAAATATTAAATATAAATTACTATAAATTATTGAATTATCCAATAAAAATGAACAAAAATAACTAATTAGATCAGCTTCAAATGCAATATATTTATTAAGTACATTATAAGAAAATTTAAATAATATAGATTTAAGTCATGTTTGTCTATCTGATACAAAATTAAATAATCTTACATTTTTTAATTCTAATTTAAATTATACTAAATTCTCAAATTTATCAATAGAATCATGTAATTTCAACTGTGCAACAATTGAAAATGCTAAATGGGAAAATATTATTTGTAAAGAGAAATAAACCTTAATTGGTCACAAAGATGTAATAACCAGTGTATTTTATTCAAAAGATGGGAAAAAATTGATATCAGGTAGTGAAGATGGTTCTGTTAAAATATGGTAAGTTTAAGGTGATGAAGAAACAAAAACTTTTTATTTTCCAAATAGCCAAAAAGTCATTTCTGCTTCATACTCTGAAGAATTAAATATTCTTGCTTGTTTAACTAAATAATATATTTAAATATTAAATTGCAATGACCTTGTCTTGGAGAAATTAATTCCCTTATACAATTATGAATATACTAATGTTAAATTATCTCCTGATGGATAATATATTGTTGCATAAAATTAAGGAGCTCTAAATTTGATTTGGAAAACAGAAGCATTATAAATAAATCCCAATCCCTAATTTTATTAATTAAAATTTTCATCATTTGTAAACTGCATCTAAGCTTCGCACAATGAAAAACTATTAGCTATAGGTAGTTTAGAAATCTTAATTTTGTCTATTAGAGGATTTCAGGATTACAAAGAAATTACAAAATTACCATTTGAAGCTTTTTCATTAGCTTTTTCTAATGATGATCAAGTATTAGCTGCAGGAGTAGACAAATATATTATTAATTTTTGGAGTTTAAAGAATATCAATAAATTTGAGTTTCTATATTCTGTAACATTAAAAATTTTTGTCAAAAAACTGCTGTATTCTTATGATAATAAATATCTGATTTGTGAAGCCAAAGATAATATTTATCTTTATGAAACTACCAAGGAGCAGTATCCTTTAGAAAGTAGTTAAAAAATAGTTTATGAAGGAAATACCTATTGCTATGATTTTGAACTTATAAAAAGTTCTAATTATATTGTTATTTGCACTTTTAAAGGGACCCTTATATAATAATTAAATAATAAAGAAACAATATAAATTTTGGAACCATCATAGATCTGTTATTCAGTTTTATATAATTCATTGGAAGATATATTGATAATTGGTTCTGATCATAAACTATGCCTTTACGATATATCAAACATAGAAAAGATCAATAAAATAAAAGAGATTCCTTTGCCTTTTTATAATCCTCTTTAAATGATGTTATTTAATAATTAAAAATAAATCATAATTAAGAGTGGATAGTATGTTTCAATACATGATTTAGATGATATTAATGGTTATAAGATATTTTAAATGTAGAATCCAACATCAAACTTTGTTATAATTAATTCTGAGTATTTCATAATAGGTATAGGTACTTTAGTTTATATTTAATCTCTTTTTTGTGACTTTGTTGAGGTTTACTTTTTCATAGATTATCACCATGTATTGCCTTGTGATTTTTCCTTTTCTTCTGATAGTAAAACATTTACAATAATAGACAAATAATATTAAACTATATTTGATATTTAGAAAAAAGAGATCATCAAAAAATAAAAATTAAATACTCAAGAGGTAAGTAATCTGAAAATAAATAGATAATAAACTCTAGCTATTTTTTTATCTACGATGTCATTTAGTTAATAACAATAACTGGTATTATTATATAATCTAAAAACTAATTAATCAATACAATCCTTAGAAGAAATTTTGAATTATTAATAACATTGTACATAAATAGCATTTTCTGCAGATAGTATGAATGTTGTTACTGGATATAGAGATAATTCAATTAAATTATGGGACATTAAAACATATAAACTTATTTCGATGTTTCAAACTAATACCCATTCAATTAATTTATTAACTTTATTAAATTAAAATTTATTAGCCTAAGTAAATTAGGAATACATAAAACTTTGGAATCTAAAAGCACTTTAATAATAACAAATAGAAATGACTGGCCATAAAGATAATATTCAGTAATTTGTAATTTCTTCTGATGGATTATAATTAGTTTCTTAATCACGATCTTAAATAATGAGATGGGATTTACAATAATAGAAATCCATTGATATATTACTGGATGGATAGGAAAAAATATCTTTGGTAGAATATTCTGATGATGCTCATTATTGTGCTGCTGTTGATCAAAATGGATAAATTGTTGTATGGAGTTTCAATACGAAATATTTGATTGAAAGAAGCTTTAGATTACTTTGTGCGAGATGTAATAATTTGAAATTTGATGTTCAAAATAATTAATTAATATCAAAACATATAGTTAGTTATAATATCCATACTAACTTAATTTGGGATTTAGAAACAGCATTTTAATATTGTAAACTTCAGAATTAGACAAAATATTAAGATTTATTGGATATCACCTTGATGTCTCCTGATTAAAAATTTTATATATCGAAATCTCCATTCAAACTTGTGAGTCTTATATAGGAAAAGGGACAATAAGTTGTTGAAAATGTTAGTATAAAAATAAATTCAGAAATAGGAGCAATAGCAATATCTAAAGATTCTACTAAAGTGGCTCTTGAAGATTTAAAATTGTCTATAATATTATGGTCGATATAAACAAAATAATAGCTAGCAATTTTAAAAGATGAGGAAAGTAGCAAATTTAAAATATTGACAATGGTATTTTCAGGAGATAGCAAAACATTATTCTCATTTCATGAAGATGGAGAAACCAGACTATGGGATGTTTATGATAAATATACATTGCTTTAAAAATATAGTTCTAAATATATATGTGTAAATTCAGAAAGCAACACTTTAGTAACTATTCATGCTTTTTCTCACAATAATGATGACTTTCTCATTCTTTGGGGAGAAACAATCGCTTGCTACGGGGAAGTTGGTCTAATGCAAAGTTATTTATATCATAAAACCTAATCCAAAATTTAATTATAAGCATGTTCTAATTATAATGATTTATTAATATATACTCCTGCATATTCTGAAAATAAGTAGTTATTAGCAATCTAAGGTAGAGAAGCACTAAATGTTTGGGACCTTATTTAAAATAAGCCCATTTTGATTGTTGAAGGTAACTCATTTGTATCATCTACTGACTCTAGTATATTGTCCTTTTCAGCTAATGCAGATACACTATATGGAATAGGAAAAGATTAAAAATTAAGATGCTGGAATTTGTAGAGTAACATTAAAGTAATTTTAAAATCGTAAGTTCCAGTAAAAGCATTTTAGATTAATGAGGATACATAAATTATTAAGGCTATTGGTAAAGATAATTAAGTATATACGTATTTGTTTGAAGAATTTACAGAAATTTGCTTGTTTGGACCTGAAAATATAGAATTTTTAGTAGTTAATAAATAAGAATCAGCTCTATTTGAACACTAATTAATTGATTAAAGAAAGAGTATAAACTTGATTGATAAGAAAACAAAGGAAATTAAATATACAATTAATCAATTTTCAACAGAAATTAATTGTGTTTTATCTTCTAATCGTGGAAAATAATTGATTATAGGAACATATGATGGGTCTATATTTATTTATAATGTAAGTAAACAGATTGTAGAAAAATATGGAAAACCTGTTTGCAGTAAAACTTTTGCTAGAAGTCCAATTTTAATGGCTGATTGTTGTAGTATTAAACAATCAATATTATTGACATAAGATAAAGAGAATCTAGAAAAATTGCTGTTGTAAAAAGGGGCAAAAAATAATAATGATTGAAATTATTCATAGATCAATTATTATATTTTTTATACATTATTAAATATTTTATATTATAGAATGCTCTTATAATCATTTTGATTAAGAACAAATAACATTAATATTTCTCCTTCCTCTCTTTTATTCATTAAGTTACTATTGTCATAAAGAATAGTGTTTCTTTTTATTTTTTAATAATCATAGATATAACCTAGATTTATTACATTAATAAATTAATTATCGGCCATTTAAAAAAGTGTTATATCTTATTTTCTGAAATTTCTCTAAAATACATTAAATTTATTGAAATATTCATAAATGTAATCAGATCAAAGTCAATTTTCACAACAGTCAAATGAGCTTTGTTAAAACGAACAATAAGCTGAAGAATTATATTAAGCAAGCCTTGTAAAATTAATCATATATTATAATTAGATTAAGCTCAAATAGTAGAACATTGAGGACGCCTTACAACTTATAAACAATTCTCTGAAACTCATTCCTTTGAATGCTAAAGCCTTAACATTGAGAGGTATCTATTAATTTTATAACTTAAGGAGAGTTATTGTTAAAAAAAAATTTGAATGATCAAGCATTAGATGATTTAAATTAAGCTATATAATTAGGGTCATTGAAAGAAGAAACATTTTATCATAGAGGTAAAGTGTAATTTAATAAATAATAGCAACTGGATACTATAGAAAGAAAATGTTGAAAGAATCATTAGAAGATTGTGAAAAAGCTATACAAATTAATCCAAATTATGGATTAGCATACATGATGATTGGTAAAGAAGTTTGATAATTTTAGGAATAATAATGGTAGTAATAGAATAGTATCTAGAAGCTTTGAAGTATTATAATAAGGCAATTGAAGTTGATGAGAAATGTAGTTATGTATATTTCTATAGAGGTAATTTCATGAAGTATATTGTATAGGAGATCTATATAACCATATGGGACTTACAGATTAAGCTCTCTTAGATTATAATATGGCCATTCAAATCGATCCTTAGAATGCTGGATTTTATTTTATTAGAGGTAAACAATTTATTTTATCGAATAGCAAATCAATTTGATGTCATGGGAAATCAAGAATAAGCACTCATAGATTATAACAAGGCCCTTCAATTAGATCCCACTAATGTTAAAATCTACTGTAACAGAGGTAATTAATAAATATTTATGATTAGGAATTCTTTATAAAAATATTGGAAATACAGAATAGGCACTCCTTGATTTTAATAAAGCGATTCAGTTAGATCCTTTGAGCTCAAAATTTTATTACAACAGAGGTAATTAATAATACATTATAATGAATAGGAGTTATATATTATGAAATGGGAAATTAAGAATAGGCTCTCTTAGATTATGACAAAGCCATTGAATTAAATCCTATGGATTCTAAAATTTATCATAACAGAGGTAATGAATAAATAGTATAAAAAGGAATTCTTTATGATGCCATAGGAGATAAATCATAAGCACTCATAAATTATAATTAGGCTATTCAATTGGATCCTATGAATGCTAAAATTTATTATAATAGAGGTAATATAGATATGATATCGAACAGGTGTTTTATTAAATGATATGGGAAATACTCAATAGGCATTTGAGGATTATAACAAAGTTCTTTAATTAAATCCTAAAGATGTGAAAACATATTGTAACAGAGGCAATAAATCAATAATATTTAATAGGAATTTTATATAAAAATATGGGAAATAAAGAAGAGGCACTGATTGATTATAACAATGCGATTCAATTAGATCCATTGGATGCTATAACTTATATTAACAGAGGTATCTTTTGATATTATATAATAGGAATTCTATATAAAGACATAGGAAACAAAGATTAGGCACTAATTGATTTAAATAAATCCATTGAATTAGACCCTAAAAATGATTTAGCTTATATTAACAGAGGTAACAATACTGTATATTTGAGTAGGATTATTATATGATGAAATGGGAAATAAAGAATAAGCACTTATAGATTATAACAATGCCATTTAATTAAATCCAGTAAATGCTAAATATTTTTATAAAAGAGGTGCTCAATATATTTTATTTTGAATAGGAGTACTCTAAGATTGTTAGGGAAATAAAGAATAGGCACTCCTAGATTATACAAAGTGCATTTAATTGGATCCTTAGTATGCTCCTGCCTATATGAGCAGAGGTAATAAAGATGCTATCTTAATAGGATCAAGATATTTCGAAATGGGGATTAAAGAATAAGCCCTTGAGGATTTTAGCATGGCCATTAAGTTAAACTCTAAGGACGCTGAGTCTTATTATAATAGAGGTTATATACATAGTAACCTGATTAGGAGTCTTATGGAATTTGATGGGAAATAATGAATAAGCTATCCATGATTTCAGTATGGCCATATAATTGAATCCTAATGATCTTAAATCTTATTGTAACAGAGGTAATAAATAGAAATTATAAAATAGGAGTACTATATATTAACAGCAATTAATACGACTTAGGGCTTTCTGATTATCTTAATGCAAATGATCTATAACCAGATAATCCCTTTATACTGTCAGTTTTAGAATAACTTAACTCTTTGAAATAAAATTAAAAATAATCAAATATTGAACTTGATTCAAAAGAAACTTCACAGATAGATACTAAATAGAACTAATATGAAGGAACTGTGTAATAAAATCAAGAATAAATCAAAGAGATTTAAGAAATTTAAATGGATATAAATTCATTAAAATTATAAATGTTATCATTATCACAACCCTAATTAGACAAATCAATTTTAGATAATGTTTAAGAAAGTTTAAGTAAGATTGAAAAAGAGCAATAAATATTAATAAATCCATTATAAGATTAGCCAGAACTGTTAGATAAGTAGCAATAATTAGAAAAGGTTAAATGGATTTAAGAAAATATATAATAACTCAAGCAATTATTATCTTCACTAAAATAACAGGTATCTTAATAAAATAAATAAACTTCTGAATTAGAATAACCAGATTAAAGTTTAGCATAAGATGACAGTTTTTAAATCGATTTATCAATTTCTCAACCTTAAGAATTTGAAAAACATCAACATATTTATTATTAAGCAATCCTTCAACAATTATATTATTATTTGTTGGCAATGTAATAGATATATTAAGTGAATACAATTAAGAATAGATCAGAAAAAGTTTTAGATATAGTTCAAAAGGTTTATAAAGATAGATCAATTTAAGAAGGAAATAGATCAATAAATATATAAGCATTTGAACTTATCAATTTAGCCCTTGACAATGCAAATAACTAAAAATGCGAAAATAAATTTGAGGTTAGGGTGAGTAAATTAAACAGCATCTTAAATTATTTTAATATTATTAGCTCCTTAGATTTAGAGAAAGAATTAAAAATAGCATCCATTGAACTTACAAAGTAACAATATAATGGTTTGGATTCGAAGCATGATCAATAATTCAATGATTTTGTAGAAAAGCTATGCCAAACACAAAATTAATAAAAAGAAAATATAATGCATTAAAAAAATGGAACAATAGATGCATTAGTTATTTTAAAATATTTAGAGGATTATTCATCAAATATAATAGAAACTTAAAACAAAAAGTTGAGAGAAATATTTTTAAAAGCTGTACAAAAGAACCAAATCTAAGATAAAGTATAATTGTAAAATTAATGAGTAAAACGATTATTTATATAGTCTTAAACTCATTATAAAATATATCAAGGATAAATGCTACGTTTATTAATTTAATTATTCAAGTTAAAGTAATTTTTTTAACCAACATTTATTGAAAAAAGAAGAAAATTTTTTTTCAAACATCATAAATAAAAATTGAATTTCTCATTCTATATTCTTATTTTTTGAGAAATTAGAGGCTTCAATGCCAATCTCGCGGCCAATAGCTAGCAAGGAAATATTTTAATGTCTTAAAAATGTATATCAGAATCGAGATGTAGAAGTAAATTCATTAATTTAATAAGGATTTCAATCATAATCAAGGGTATATGAAAGATAAGGATATGAATGAAAATAAGATTTACATTTGTTTAAACTTAATCAAACGATATTGATGAATAAATATTCTGTCTGATATTTGATTAAGATAAGAGAATATTTCGAATGCTCTACGATTTCTTTCAATATGATTAAAATCAAATGTGCTTCAAATATTTTATTTATTGCCAATATGAGTGATGCTAGATTGAATAGAAAAGATAAATTATATTTCTCAGCCTCTTCATATGATATTAAGGCATTACAAAAATGTTAAGTAATGAGATTTTATTAACTCTATGGAAATACATTTCTTAATATTGAGCTAGTTATATTCATTGTTGATAAAAAAATAAATTTAAGTTTTCTCCATATTTTTTTTTCTGATCAATTATAAATGACAATACAAAAATTTATTAAAGATACTGAATTTTTCTATTATAAAAGCATTTTATTTTGAATTAAAAAATCTTATTTTAAATAATTTATTTCTAGAAATCTGCTTATATGTTTAAACAACCCTTATAAGTGTTCCCTCAACCTTCGAAATTCACTATTGAAATAATTTTTTCATTATCCTTAATGATCACTAGAATGTATCATGTAGCAATATTATTTTTATAGTTTAGATTAAAAAAATTTAATAAGAAGACAATGGTTATGAATAAAAAGAACATTTTATCAGATTTTAGATTCATCAATAAATATTGATGAATTAATATTCATTTTGGGATGATTGAAATGTTTAGAAAGAAGAAAATTTCAGGGATTATATGGCTTCTTTCAAAATCTGATCTTACACAGAAATCTATTTGGATGCTTGACAGCATCTAATTAAATAAGAATAGAGAGTTTGCTGGAATATATTTATACATCTATGTGATATCAAAACTTAATAACAAAAAACAAAATTGGATGATCATAGTGGAGCTGTTTAGAGAGATGCTTCTCCAAATGATAATACCTTAGCATTTTAGGGATGATAAGTTTATCTGTTTATGGGATGTTAAGGTCAGAGTAGTATCCTGAATATACATCACTACTATGTCCATCTAATTTTGATTTTTGTTACCTTTGATGGAACTATTTTATAATATGATTATTGGAGATAAGACTATTCTGCTAATTGATGTTACTACAGAATTTTAAACCTCCAAAAAAGTCTTATTATGATATTTTTGCTAAATAAGAGATTTCTCTTTTGAGCAATTTTTATAGAATATGTTTTATTCAATTTAATTTAAACTAGTTAACTTTAATTTTACTATTATAATATTATTCCAATAACTAATTATTTATATAAATATTATCAATAATTAAAGTATTTTTTATGCAATTAAATTCCACACTTAATTTAGAATATTCAAGTTTATATAATAATATTATATTATTCATCAGAAATTTGGTTTATATTATTTATTTGCAATTTGAAATCTTAGAATATAGTTGTTTCTACTTTTAAAGTTGAAATAGTATTACTTGTTAATATTATCATTCTGAAGTATATATTGAGGCTAAGAAGACTTTTGTAGGATAATAATTCTAATTTATTTCGAATATTTAAAGATTAGTTATTAAGATTAGAACTTATTTCTGAGTATAATTATAGAATAATTTATATTTTTAAAGCCTTTTGTCATCAGATGTAAATAATATATACAGAAGATTACTAAGAGGGAAATTATGATCAATTTTCAATTACAAAGAGTTTTCAATTATTATTTATTACAAAAATAAAGCCATTTGCCTTTTCCAATTTTATAATTATTAAGATTATGATTGTGACAAGAAATAAAAGAAATAAAGCATTTTTGAGAAAGCAAAAGCATTTATATTTTGATATAAGTGTGAGTTTAATAAATCTTCCAATTAATCAATTTAGAGATTCATGCCACAATTAATGAAAATTTAATTTAAATTGGTTTTCTTCTTTAAATTTATAATTATGAATTATTAGATATTGTGCCTAAATATGGTTTAGATATAAAAATTTTATGAATCAAGGAGAATATTTTAATCCATTAACAAAATATTTTCAAAAGACTCAAGAAAATTAAACTGGTGATATAAACTTTTAGAACAAAATATTCAAATTAGTTATTACACTAATAATTTTGTGTCTCACTGATTTCATTTCTGAACAAATTCAACTTTAATTTATAGGCGGACTCTCATTTCTAAATTAATGGCCTAGTATTTCTTTTTTGTTCCAGAAAAGCTTTTAACATTTGAGATCTTTGGAAATTCCTCCTGTTATCTATTTTACGACTATATCTTTGAATCTAATATATTAAGTAAGCCTCTTTACTATCATTTCATATAGACTATATTCTCCATTCTTGATTATCCAAAACCCCGTGGTGTCCTCATAATCTCTAATTTTTAAATTTAATACTAAATGGTGTTATCTTTAATGTAGCGTAATTCGAACCCCAATTTATATTATATGATGATAACACCTGAAGCTCCAGATCTAACTAAAATTTATGATCGAATCATTTTAATGATAGATTAATATTTTAACTAATTTATTTTCAATTAAATTACTTGATAGATTATTTTAGAGAAATAAGTGGGTATTATTTAAAGGAAATTATATTTTATATACTAATTTTCATAAATATACTAGTAAATCATATTTAAAAAGGAAATGATTTTCAAGATATTTATCTACTTGTTAAATCTATAATTAAACGCGTAAGGTTCAAATAAAAGTTGATATTAATTAATATCCCATGTTTAATCCTTTTTTGATTTTATATCCTATTCCTCTAATTATTTATTTATTTAATTATTTAGACATTTTCAAAAGTTAATATTATAAGCTTTAAATAATTATAAACTATGCATGTCTTCATATCTTTGGATTTATATTATACTCTAAAATAATTTTCCCTTCTTCCTATATTATTAGGATTTTCTATTTTCCCTTAATAAAGTAAATCACTTCTTGTATAAAAATATTACTTTAATAAATACTATTTTTAAGAAAACTATTATTAAGCTTTTGAATAATAATTTATCTATTTATTTTTGTAAATGGAAAGATAATTAACTTTGCTGAAGCTTGATATTAGAATTCTTTCGAAATCTCAATACAAATTTTTATATTAAGCCTATCTTAAGAATTTGATAAAAAGTATGACATCTGGTTTTTCATATATTTTTTAATTTGATTGAAATTTAAGAACAAAATAAAAAGTAAAGTTTGGATAAAGGTTTACATAATCAATCATCTCAAGGAATTATTAATAATCTTTATTTGTATAGAAGAAAAACATGTTCTATATTCTGAATATTATCAATCTATGCATAAGACTATTTGTTTCTAACTCTCCAAATTTCCTACAATAATAGTAAAGTCAGATCTACTTTTTAATAATAATACATTAAAACTTTGTTCTTCAAATATATGAGAAGGAAAAAAAAAGTAATAAAAATTCGATTATTTTTTTTAAATATATGATCTGCAGTTTAAAACAAAAAAAAGATATATGGGAATTTTTAGCTTTATCAAAAGATATTGATGAAGAGATATTCAGCCTTATTATTGAAATTTTTACAAAATAGAAAATTTAAGACTGTTTAGGATATCTTTTTAATTAGGAGAATCAAAAAAATTTCGAAATAGTCATTTTACAAATAGATAACTTATCACTTACAGATAAGGAAAAGAAGTTGAAAGTTTTAAGAAATAACATTAAGAAAATAACTAATATTATCAGTTTACTAAAAGATCATGACTTTTATAAAAATGATTTTTCAGCTGAAGGAAAATTTTTCATTAGACAAGAAATAATTAAAAAAATATAAGATGAAAAGAAGATTATTGAATTTCTAAAATTCTTAGTTCGCCTTACTGCAATAGATGAAAAATTTATCTAATGTGGATCAAACTCACTCATTTTATTAGTAGAAATGAAAGCTATACTTTATAAACAATCTTTTGAAAATATTAGGATTAAGAATACTGATTTAATTGGAGCCAATTTCTTCAAATGTAATTTAAATGGATCATAATTTAACAACGTTGATATAAGTGGAATAAATATAAATGGAGCATAATTATTTAATTGTAAATGGGAGAATTTAAAAATAAATTAGTTACATAAATTAGAAGGTCATTTCGGTAGTGTCAATTCAATATGCTTTTCTCCTGATGGATCTAAATTAGCTTCTGGTGGTGGAAGTCCTTATAGTGGTAGAGATGATTCGATCCGATTATGGGAAGTTAATACAGGAAGATAATTATTTTAATTAGAGGGTCATAGGGATTATATTAAATCAATGTGCTTTTCACCTGATGGTATTACATTAGCATCTGGTAGTGCTGATAAATCTATTTGTTTATGGAATGTTCAAACAGAATAATTAAAAACAAAATTGTATGGTCATATTAGTTGTGTCCATTCAGTATGTTTTTCTTCTGATGGTAATACATTAGCATCTGGTAGTGCTGATAAATCTATTTGTTTATGGGATATTCAAACAGAATAAATAAAAACAAAATTGTATGGTCATACAAGTTGTGTCCGTTCAATATGCTTTTCTCCTAATGGTACTACATTAGCATCTGGTAGTGATGATTAGTCAATCTTGTTTTGGGATGTTTAGACAAAAAAAAAAAAAATGAAACTAAATGGTCACAAAAGCTGTGTTAATTCTTTATGCTTTTCTACTGACGGAATTACATTAGCATCTTGTAGTGGAAGTTTTTCTAATAGTAAAGATCAATGTATTCGTTTATGGGATGTGAAAACAGGACACCAAAAGTTTAAATTAGATGGCCATTGTATGGAAGTCTTATCAGTATGCTTTTGCCTTGAAAGCCATACATTAGCATCTTGTAGCGCTGATAAATCCATCTGTTTATGGGATATTAAGACTGGATAATAAATATCTAAACTAGTTGGTCATAGTGATTATGTGTATTCATTATGTTTCTCTCCTGACGGCACTAAATTAGCTTCAGGTAGTGGAGATAAATCTATCCGCTTATGGGATTATAAAGCAGGACAGCAACAATCCTACTAAGATGGACATAGTAAATGTGTCCAATCAGTATGCTTTTCCCCTG